GAATTGTTCTAGTTCCACACCATTCACACTCGACCATCCTGGGACGGCGGGGCAGTTTTCACCCTCGAAGACCCATTACGCCATTTCGAATACTAAGTCTTACCCGCAGTCTAAATGTCTCCAATGTAATGTGTCCAAAAGTGTAATTCCCGTAGTGTCAAAGTTTTCAAAGGTTTCAATGTATTAAAAAAAAGTCCCTCCTTGCTTATTCGACGAGTGTGTCAGGGAAATCCTGAGTTATGATTGAAATGAATTTCTTCGAGAAGTCCTTATGGATTCGGACGCATATGTCCGCATCGCTGACCCCGCTGGGAGAAGCTGCTAAGCCGTCCTCCTGTGGGTTTGCATTGAAGATCCTATAGCCAAAACAAGGTGAGCATCTTAAGGGGGAAAGACGAAAAGAAGAGATCTGACCTGAAGTAGTTCAGCGACGACCACGACGTAAAGTACCTTGCCTTTCCAGGGAAGCCAAAGTGTATGTCATTCCAGTCCGATCTGTAGTCGGAACAGAGTTACTTCCTTTGATATCGGTGCACCATTGAATCTGTACGAACCCATAATAACTATTGATGGAAACCTCTCCTTCCTCGGGTCCAAAATACTGGAATCGTCCGTCCGGGCCCGCATTCGAACTCTTGCCGAGCAGGTAACTGGCCCATGACATCCACTTTTCGAGGAACTTGTGGTCCCGCGCAAAGTTGATGGTTGTCCGAATGAACCGCGTCAACGCGGGAAGAGAGAACGCCGACGAAGGCGGCAGCGGGTCAGAATACATGACCATAATGACGTTGCCTTGCGCCGAGGGTGCGTTGAATTTTGTGATCGTGGAAGGCTTGGTATTTGATCCACGATACTAAATGAGACATTACGAAAGGGTTAACACGCGAAGACTGTTACACTACAAGAGACCAGTCTAGACGCACGTTGAGGATCAAAATGATGGTATGCACCGGATCGGCTTGGCATTGATTAAGAACCTTGATCAAGTAAGCCGCAAGGGCATCGTTCAGAGTGACTTTGACCTTCTCCTCTCCGGTAGAGCTGTCCTCGTTTGCCGCTTTATACATCTTCTCGATGCTTCCACCGCTGAGTCGAAGTTGGACTTGGTCGCTAATCGCATCCAACCCAGCGTACTTCTGCCACAAAGGAGGAAGATCGTAGTCTTTGGCGAGATGAGGCATGCGCGGCAAGAAGTTCTCCGTGAAGTCAGCGTCTTCCGGTTGGCGGGAGAACGGAGAACGAAAGAAGTGTCGGTACAAGGAGGGAGCCAGAGGGAGTTCTGATTCTTGTGCGTCGAGATTGACGTAGTACGCCGAGAGACATTTACAGAACTCCCACATGGAGAAGGCGTCACCTAGAAGAAAGATATCGTTGGATCTTCTTGTATCCTCGCCTCTTGTGTATGGACTAACCGCACGTATGGGACCAGCTAATACCAATAGCGGTCCCGTTCTCCCAAATGGTCAGCTTGAAACCTAGCAAAGAATCCGAAGCGGTTCCTGGTACTAGGATCTTCCCACAATCTTCCGAATTGAGGAAAGGCTGGGTGAGCTCGCCAGGCTGAACGGTAAAATCGTTGGGGAAAGGGTACGTTGCAGAGAGTTCCGACGACGGGGGAGATATCTTGGCGACACGGACGGGCACGGGGGAGTTTTTTAAGTTGATCTAAGCACAAGGTAAAACGAGGCGTGTAAGAAGTAGAAGCGACGGGAGTTGAAAGGGAGAAACCTACTCTCCAATCATCGCCCTCTCGGACTAACCGCCCCGCTGTATGCGGGTATCTCGAAACTGCCTTTGACACGGCAGATTTAAACCGTTCAACGTCAATCTCGCTTGGGATTACATGGACGCTGTAAACCTATCAAATGTACTAGGCATCAGTACCCGTTAACTCGCCTAGCCATGGATCAAGATCTAACATAGTTTCTAAAAAGATCTTGAGCCGGAAGTTTTAAAGAGGTCTCGCCAGCTAGAGCCGTGGGCTCGCTGACGGGGACAAGAACACGGGTAGTAGAAGTAGTTGCCATTGGACTGCGACGGAGTGAGCAGACTGGGGTGAAGAAGCCGCGAACCCGCCAGGATGGTATATAACGCTCGCAGGGAGTCACCGGTTCCTTAGGTTTCTCGGTGACACAGCGGTACCGTTGCTCCACTGACGAGGAAACGTGACCACTAAATATCATAACGCCGTGAGAACAGTGCTGATGTCCGGTGATAGCGTCGAAGCCTTCAGAATCTCGGTTGGAGTAGTTACTCGATATGGGGCAGCTGCCGGCGGTACACAATTCTTTGTGTAAAGAAATCTAAACGATACAAGGTATTAGGAGTGGGTCCAATTGGGCTTTCGCTTCTCGGTAAACGCCGCCATTCCTGCAAGGGAGGATGTAAATGAGCATCAAGAGCCGGTAGGTCGCTTGTGGATGCACTTGAGTTCCGCTTACCTTCCTGCTTGTCCTTGGTAGAGAACAGACCGAAGAACAATCGGCGCTCGAAGCGTACTCCCTCGGTCAGAGGGAGTTCATAGGCTGGCATATGTCGAATATTAGAAAAAATCCCACAAGGACGTCCGGATTTGTGCTCAGGCTTACCTGCATTGATCATTTCCTTCGTAGCCTGAACGGCAATCTGACCCTTGCTTGCAATCTTCTGAGCGAGCTCAACAGCCTCCTTGACCACTTGACCCTCTCCTTCTCCGACAATACGGCTGACGAGACCCCATTGTTCTGCCTCCTTTGCGCTGAAGTTCCTTCCGGTCAACATCAACTCCATGGCGCGATATTTGCCAACAATGTGGGTCAGTCGCTGGGTACCTCCGCCGCCCGGTGAGACTCCGAGGTTGATTTCGGGTTGCCCAAACACCGCGGTCGGAGAGGCAAGGATCATGTCGCACATCATGGCCAATTCGCAGCCTCCACCGAGCTAGACGGAGAGGGAGACATTGAGAGATCTTGGGACCAAAAGACATTTACAAAAAGTGTTTGACATACTGCATATCCACTGACCGCAGCAATGACGGGCTTCCTGATCTTGGTGATGACCGACCATTCCGCAAAGAGGTCGCCGTTGTATGCCGAGGCAACTGCACCGAAGACTGACATTCAGTCTAACTTATGGTAGAGATGGGGTGGAGATATGGCTTACAGTCTTTCTCCTTAAGCTCCTTGATGTCCGCACCAGCTGCATACCGCATGAAATGCGGTCAGTCGCGACCGGTCGGATGGTTGGCAATGCTCTACGAGATGCTCACCAGCAAACGCCTTTTCGGAACCAGTGATCACGATAGCACCAATATCCTTCTCAGCATCAGCTTCTAGCAGCGCTGCATTCAGATCTTGGAACAGCGGGGTGCTCAACGCATTGAGAGCTTTTGGCCGGTTGAGTGTCAAAAGAGCAACCGACGGAACTGGTCTCGATGCAATGACGTTCTGATACTCCTTGGTTGAGAATAGCCTTCTCGAGGCTCTGGTGAATGCGTATGCAGTTCGTGGTCCGAGGAGAATTGAGCTCATGGTTGGCAGAATGGTCGTTCGAAGTGAGAACGGTTGCATGTGACCCGGATCTCCCGGTTATGCTCACCCTGTCTTCACACGATTTTCACCGCCACCAAGTCCCCGACCCCAATTACAAGTGAACGTAGGAGCAACATCGATATTACTGCATATGGTTGAGTTTATGCGGTAGCCCAAAGGCGTGTGACGTATTAGTTAGGTGGCAAAAGGTATGGATCTCGGAAGGTTCAAAGGTGCGTATCTGCTAAGGCAGCTATAGCAACAATCGCTCTAACTGATTGCTGAACTTGCAGATGCAGTCTAACATGTCCAATTCAGGAAGCAAAAGAGTTTTCCAACTACCCACCGTGGGGATTGAACCCACGACCTTCAGCTACTAAGGTCGACTCAAAGTCGCCGGAAACTGACGATCTGCCACTGATCTAGGAGGGCTTTCTTAGGGCAGAAATGCCGCAGCGGTATTCAGAGCAACTTAACAGCTAGTCGTCTCCATGTCTCAGATGCCAAACTTCGCAGAACCATAGTTCCATATATTTAGTCAATAATATGGTTACAACATAAATACAGGAGAACGAGGAACCAGTTAATACAACACGTAACATCTTATCTTCCCTTCTCGACATCTGACGAGCCCCGCGATGAATCGGAAGGTCGCATTCGAGGGGGTTCGTGCAGCTCAGCTCCGTCGAAAGCCAGTACCCGAACTGTCCTCAGCGGAGTAGCTTTAGGCTGCATCCAAGGGTCGTCCGATGTCTCCAGGGCATTCGGGGCCACCCTCCAACCTTTGGTCTCCGGCATCTCGATCTCCTCCGTGTCCGAGTAATCCGTCATTTCGCTTTTATGTGTCGCAGATACCACTAGCGTTGGTCGACGAATGGTGTGATGCTGCGCGTGATCGTGTTCAACCTCTCATGCATCCGTTCCGTAACTGTGACCGATGGGAGCTCTGCCGGGGATGGATCGAGCGAACTGTATAGAGGTGAACGTATTTCCTGGATTGGATAGGTGTGCCCTCGAGGTGATATCCTTATTCCTCAGGTGCCAAAACTCCAGCACGTCTCGTTGCGAGCCGAAGACAACGCAGACAGCAACGGACACTGAACCAGGAACGAACGAAGTTGATCAGCGGATGGTCTCTTCAGACTAAATTATAAAGCACATACTTCCAGCCACGAGGAGATCTGGAGCAGCTTGAGACCACGCAGAGACAGTAGCGACGATGGCCAAGCTGAAGGACAGCTGTCAGGGGTAGTCATGACCGAAGGCTAGAACTAGGTGCACTTACACCAAGGCAATGACAATAAGCATGCTGAATAGAGAGATCCGAATGAAAAGGGGCATATCGACTTCTCCGACTTCTTGCTGGCCAAATCGTTTAGATCGACGGTATCTCCCGTAGACAATGAAAAGAGTCCAAACTGAACAGGCAAGTTCAGCAAGAATCGTTGGGAACAGGAGTAACGCGCTCACATTGAAAGATGCAAGAGATCAGCAGGAAAACAGCCGCAGCAACGCCAGAAATAATGGATGGTGTCTGATTATCACTGGCGCAATATTGGGGGAATCGCCGAACGTTGTCACCAGCGATGAGACCACAAGCCAAAGCTATTCCAATCCACACCAGTAAAGGAAGTGCGGTAAACTAGGGGTATATCTAGTCGGTTAAGCTAGAAAGGGAGGGAAGCGGTGCAGAACGTACCACCACGGAGACGGCACCTGATGCCTTCATCAGCAAGGACTGAGACTTATTCACTGAGAATGTCAGATACCAGACGCGAGCTACTACGGTCATCGCAGCCGCGGATAAAGCTGGAGGTGCTCCATACACTACAGCCGATTGAAACTTGCAAAGTCGAGGTTCGACGTGCTGCTCGTCGGGATGGCCGGTGAAGACCCTGCGAAATGCGTCTCAGTAACATCCGAGAAAAAGAAGATAAATCCTAGATCTTACAAGAGACATGAGACAACAGATTGTATGATCCATAGTACAAGGTTGTTGGGAATTGTGATGTGGCGTGAAGGCCCGCTTGGTAGGGCGAACGTGATAGTAAGGAATGTAAGCTACGCAATGCGGAATGCATAGATTCAAGGAACATGGCAGGAGTCCATGTCAGTCTGAGATGGCGTGACGGGAGGGACAAAGCGACTTACTAGGACGAGTCCTGTCAGCTGGAGCACATAATACACAATTGTCGTCGATGCGAGCATCTTAATGTCTGTCGAGCGCACAGCGCTGAAGCCCTTCTACCAGCGTTATTCAGATCCTCCGGAAAGCGCTTCACGCCTCCCGAAAGCCTTGTGAGGGGGTTGGGGGGAATCAGGAGCAACGAACAGCGAAGAATAATCGTCGCGGTCGTTGCATATAGTCATGTCCATGCCGACGACAGAATTCATTCGAATAATACCCTGGATGGCTTCCATACCGAGGGCTGCGCATGAGATTGAAGGGAAAGTTCTCGGGAAAAGGCGAATGTAGTGGGAAAATCCCACACCGGCGCGGAGCCTCAAATGTCGGTCCGCCAATGACAGCGAGCGGACACCGTGGATCGCACCCGACACGGCCCCGCCATCGTTTCACCGACTACTCAATCTAAGAACGTTAATCGGGATTCCACTGCATTCACCGACCCAAATTTTTACGCATGGGCGGTCGCTGAATCGGGCGAGACCGAGAACAGTTCACTGCTCATAACATGGTACAGAACAGGGTATGTGAGCTTCTTGGGCTGGAGTCCCATTCAGCGATCTTCACTAAAATACCCATAGATTATACGAAACGGAGTGGGGATACTGTTACAATGACCCTGGACGAGACGAAATCCCGGACAGCTTTTGCAGCGCCCGAGAAGCCCTTATTACACAATGCACCGAGAGAGCTCGAACTTATTCCTTCTTGTACGGCTTGACCCGAAGAGGCAGCTGAGGACCCTTCGCCCGCTGGCCAGCCACATAGGGTCGGGTCAAAACACTAAGATGAATTTATGAGTGAGTGAAGATTGCGGCGAGAGGAGACGGTTCGGAAAGGACGCACAGGTTCATCTTCCAGTATTTGACGTTTGGCGGGGCCTCGAACGTGAAAGCCGACAGAAGCACAAACAAAAACGTCTTCATTCTGGAGAAAAAGCCGGGAAACCCTTTCGTTGAGCGGTCGTGTCTCGGGCTGAATCGGCATTCTGGTTGCTACTCACTCGATGATGGAGAACTTCTGGCCGATGCACGCCTTAAAAAGGGAACCGTTCCGAGAGCAAAAGCGAGCTTCAGGACTAATCCGCGATGCTGGTATTGGAGGCACTCACCCTAGGGCCAGACGAGAACGTCATTATGTTCTGCCACAGTCCGGGCTGCTCCTTTACGATTTCGGGTAAGTCATCCCATCTGTCAGGTCTATAGGGGTCGTCGGAGGGATCAGCAAAACGAAGCACGCTTTCGTAAACGCGCCGAAAAACCGAGGCTTACCTGAACTCCCAAGCATCTTCACCCCACACGGTCTTATCCAAATTGAAACCCTCCATTGGGACATGCACGAACTGGCCCTTTGCGATCTTGACGCCGTGCGTTTCCGTTCCATCTCGCAGCTTTACGGGATACTTGAGAGGAATCACGTCGTCCTCCAAAGCCACTCGGATGGACGAGTGGACCGGGGGGATCAGGCGGAGAGATTCTTTGGACACTTTGTCGAGGAACGACAAGTTGTCGATGACGCTAAAGTCTAACGAGTAGTCGGCCTCCTCGTCGCCGTCCGGGGGGGTGTACACCGAAAGGATCTCCTCGCGCAGCCGTTTTTGATAAAGAGGTTTCTCGCAAAGCAAGAGAATGGTCCATGTGAGTGCGAGAGAAGTGGTGTCGCTTCCGGCAAAGAAGAAAGTATTGATTTGATCCATGATGTCTTCGTCCGTGATCTGTTGCTCGGGATCCGTGTTGCTAAGATTCGATTTGACTGCGAGACACGGCGTTAGCAGCGAAACGAACAGTCCCAAGTCAGGACCACATACTTAAAAGGCTCAGCATAGACTTGCTGTTGATACCATCTGTCTGTCCTTCGAGAAATTGTCGTTTTGCATCTTGTACAAGTTTGCCTCCAACGCCATAGATAGTCTTGTGGCTTTTCTCGACCATCCGAGTCGCAGGAGTGGACTTTGGAAGAAAGATTCAGACAAATCCGTCTGAGCTTCACTAGAATTCTCAACATACCCATATGGTGTCGAGCCACGGGTACCAAATCCCCATCAAGTCACGCAAGCTTTGTCCCTGGTTGATGGCGAGATCGAACATTTCTTTGTAGGCCAAGTAGACCTCATTATCTTCGTTCTCAATGGCGTTGAAGGCGTAGTCGAAGCCTGTAAGTCCGATGACATCGAAGGTGGCGCGACTA